ACCAATCGAAGCCCACGTGCTTCGGCCCCTGTTCGCCGCTCTACCGGCGAGGTGGCCAGCCGCGGCGGCTCGAGAGCCCGGCGATCTCTCGCCTTGGCTGCTCGATTCCGCCTGCGGGAAGACAATTCCTCCTTTTGCCACAATAACCCTCGACTTTTCCGGCGCTTCGCGGATGCAAAGCGTCGTGAGCCTAAACGCCGCGCTCCGACGTACCGCATCATTCCAGGTACGCGTCGGCGCCGCGAGTTGGATTATCGAACCTGCTTTTCGATTACCCGTTAGCAATCGTACCCCTCGTCCATCGCTTACGAACGGCGTCGGAGGTGAGGGCAAAGTCGGCGGCAAAGGAATTTCCTTCGCCTTTCCGTCCTCGCCTACACCGACCGACGTCCTGGCTAACAGCGAGATGCAAGAGGCCGCCTGCCCTAAGCCCGAAAGCAGGGCGGCAGACCTCGACGTCTGATCAACCTCCATCACCTCAACAGCTTCCGGCGAATCTACCAGTGCGTTCGTGACACCTAAAGGCACTTGGCCCTCGGCGATGTAAGAGATGCGGCTCGAGTCTCTGGACTCAGCCATCATCACTTTCGACACTGCACTCGTTAAACCTTAAAAAAAAAGAAAGAAACAAACAAACAAAAATTATCACACCTGAATCATCCCAAGAATCTATTTCTTTACCTTTCGTGGAGGCACATAACACTTAATTTCAGAGACATGTACTCGAGTAGTACGATGTTTACTGTCTGTCACTAACTCGTAGATCTCGGGCGAAATCACTGAAATAATTTCAAACGGTCCGTCGAATTTCGGATCGAGTTTCGCGTTTTTACCATCCGCTGCGCTCGAAAGCGTATGCACCTTGCGCAAAACCAAATCACCGACCTGGAAAAGCACCTGACGCCTACCCTTATCGTAGTGTTTCTTTTACTTTTTCTGAGTTTCATCAATATGCTTAGCTACCAGGTCGTGTAACGCATTTAAATGTGATAGTCTGTCTTCCCACGCCTTCGTATCTATCTTAACAATAGGGGCTTTTACCTCGATCTCGCGCCTTAAACTCTTGACCGGACGCGAATCCCTACCAAAGTTTAGAAACGCCGGCGATATCTTTGTAGACGCTTGAGTCGCCGTATTGATAGCATGACGAAATTCATGCAAGTACCTATCCCAGCTCCTGTGATCGGCATCTACAAACATCGCTATCATCGGTTTTAGCGTTCGATTTACACGCTCAACCGGGTCACTTTGCTGATGATATGCAGGGCAAAATACGTGTTCGATCTTGTAACCTATCTTGAAATACTTTGCTCTTATATGCCTTCGCATTATCACTAACGATATATTCCGGAGTCTCCCATCTAAACAGGATTAACTCCTCAAGCGCGGCGACAAGAGCAGGACCGTCCGACGAACGTAGCGGTTTTAACTCGATCCACTTGGTAAATAAGTCTTGGAAATCCATCACGTATTTAAACCTATTTTTGCTACGGAGCAGCTCTACCACATCAGTCGCTACCACGGTCCATGGTCTTTCTACTACGCGTTTACCCATTAGGCCTTGGAGCGCCTGCTGGACTACCTTGTACTTCTGATATTGAGAGCACTCATCTACGAACGTTCTCATATCATACCACACTCCTGGCCAGTAATACTCACGAGCAATTCGATCGTAAGTCTTTTCACGGCCGAAGTGTCCGGAGAATGGTTCGCAATGAGCGTCTCTCAACACCCTTTCCCGGTACTCCAGCGGCACCACCATGCGACAGCATTCCTCGCGATTAGTTATCGGATCGAGCAAGTGATCGTGCATGAACCGATACAGGACGTTATTCTCTACTCTCCAAATCTCGAATTTCTTCGGTCTTTGAAGAACGTCTTTCACGCATTGTAGATACCAAGCATCCTGTATCTTATCAAATGCGCAAACCTCGAGTTCGTCCTCAAATTCTCGCGAAAGTGCGTCCGGCACATGGTGCAGAGCTCCCTTTCTATGTACTATTTCGCAGTCTAACTACTCAAATTCTAGTTCCCATCTTTCCAATCGACCTGTAAGCTCGCGTTTATTTAGGATTCTAGTGAGCGCACTATGATCCGTAATGATGACAAAGTGTCAGCCTTCTATATAAGGCCTAAACTTTTTTACCGCAAAAAGTACTGCAAAAAACTCGATTTTGCTCACCGTGTAATTTCGCTCGTGCGCGTTAAGCATCCGACTGGCGTAGCATATGGGATGCTCGCCGTCGTCGAATACCTGGACTAAATACGTGCCAACCGCGAAGGAAGAGCCATCGCAGTGCAAGTAAAAGAGGCGCGTAAAATCAGGGCGCGCGAGTACCGGCGCCTCTGTTAATGCGCGCTTTAACTTCTCAAATGCAACTTGCTGTTCATCCTTCCATTCCCATGGCTGGTCCTTTCGAATAAGCTTAGTCAACGGGACCTTTATCTCACTCTCGTGTTCGATAAAACGCGCATACCACCCTACCATACCTAGAAAACGGCGTAATTGAGCTACGTTACTTGGTGCAGGATAGTCCACTATTGGCTTTACTTTGTCCTCATTCGGACGCAAACCTTCGCTAGCTAACTTGTATCCTAAATAAGTTACCTCGGTGCAGAAAAAATCAGACTTTTCTAAGTTGATTTCTAGACCGACACTCACTAAACGCTTTAGGACTTTCTCTAACCAAGTCACGTGGCTATCGAAATCCGCGCTAACTACCAGCAAATTGTCAAAATACCAGAAAACATGCAGCTCGTATTCTGGGCCGAAAAGTGCATCCATAAGACGCGCGAAAGTAGCCGGCGTGTTTATCAAACCAAACGGCATTCGCTCGAACTCCCATAAACCGAGACCAGGGACCGCGAACGCCGTATATTGTTTGCTATTTTCCGATAGCGGAATTTGCCAAAACGCCGCTCATAGATCTATCTTCGACAGGTAGACTGCTCCGCGCAACCTGTTCAAGATAGCATCCATGCTAGGCATCGGGTACGCATCTACTTTCGTGACTTTATTTACCGGTCTAAAATCGAGGCAAAATCTATAACCACTGTCCTGTTTACGTACGATTACCGGCGCGCTACTCCATTGACTATTCGATGGCCTAATTATTTTCGCTTTCCAAAGCCGCATAGTTTCTTTTTGCGTGAACGCTAATATCGGAGGTGACATTCGACGCATCGGAGTCTTTATTGGGTGCGCATCACCTACATCGATGACGTGCTCGATAACTCTTGTAACCGCCGGAGATTCACCAGGCTCAGGGACAATCCGGCAAACTAACGCCAGGATTGTCTCTCTCTCTGAGCCTCCTCGTACTTACTTAAACATGCGCATCCCGCAAAAACAACTATCTCGTTACTACTCTACTCTGCTAACGGATACCAATCGCCTTGGTCACCTGCTCGCCAAGCGCGACTACCGTAGCTAATATTTATATTCCACGCTATCCAAAAGTCGGCTCCTAAAATCAAGTCGTGCTTAAGCGTAGATACTACCGTCGCAATTAACCAATCCGTCCTGCCACCAATTTCAAAACTCATCTTTAAGTCGCCCGATGTTCGCGACTTCTCACCCGAGATGCCCTGTACGAATATCGTAGGAGGCTTTAAACGGTCCCTAAACCGTAAGCCGAGGTTTGGTCCTACTACCGATACCTGAGCACCTGAATCTAGCAGCGCTGTATAGAGTTCCCCGTCTATGTCGACCTTGATAAAGAACCTGTTCTCTACAACTGCGACTAACGCTGCGTCCGATTCATCTGCCGTTTCCTTCGGGATTTCTGAGTTCCACTCAGACCCTCTCCTCACCAAAATGGAAGGTGCGTCGGCACCGACGACCGAACGTCCAAACAACAAAACCCTATTATCAACGAGCTCACTTCTATCGCGCGTGACCATGACCCTTGTCACAGCCCCCTCCGACGGGAGCGCAGCGCCTGAGCTCGTTTTCTTACCAACAAATTCTACCACAGGTTCGCCCTCATTTCCTAAAGCAACGGTCTTTTCCGAAGCCTGCCCAACCGTGGGCGAAATACTCGAACCTGCCTCACTCGTGTTCGTACGCAACGATGGCAACTCATTTTGCCTCGCTGGGCACTTCTCGGGCGAGCTAACTGTCGCGCAAAATTTGTTGAACCCGATCGCATCATGCGCATCCTTATCTGGCAAAATTTCTCGCGTATTAGTGTATCAACCTTTTTGAAGACTTTCCACGTCCTGCTGTAACGAGTCGCGTTTATTTGCCTCTTCGGATTCATTGCTGATCCTACTAGGGAAACTCACGCCCTCGTCACTCTGCGCCCGAACCTCTTTCATTGTCGAACGACTAAACTCGCCTTTAAACACGTTTTTAAAGTTAACAATTTCCCTACTACCTTTTTCCGGATCCTCATATTCATCTACATCATATTCATCTACAAATACTGCACGCTTGACCTTAGCCTTGACTTTCAAATATTCCCCTATTACCTCGTCTAAGAGAGGAGGCGCAGAACTGACAGTTCCTGCCTTATTCTCGTCTTCCTCTTTTACCAAATTCACGAGAGGAGGCGCAGAACTGGCAATTTCTGCCTTGTTTTCGCCTTCCCTATTTACCTCAACTCAATTCCCTTCTTCTACGGTGCCTTCGCTCCTTGCGCGAAGCACTTTCTCTACCTCGATGCCCGCTCGATCCATCTTAGACAGGAGTCATCGAGCGGTAGACGGCTCCCGCACTGAGGTTTCCCTGCTTCACCTGGTTGCAAGTAGGGCAATCTCTGTACACATAGCCGATTGTCCCACAAACCTAGCAGTAAAGCGTCGGCTCCGAAGTTCGCATCGGGCAGTTGTTGGCATAATGCCCTGGTTGTTGGCATTTGTAGCAAACTACCCGCGGATTAGCCTGAGCTACTGAGCATTGAGCTTTCCTATGGCCTAACGCGTTGCAATTAAAACAAGCCCCCGTAAATGGCCTATTTGAATTGTTACCTCCTTGATGGCGCTGCTGCGGAACCAAGCTAGGGGCTAAAACCTGCAGCCGGGGCCCACGAAGCCTGCGCGCTCTGACGAGCAAGAGCGGCTCCGTTCGCAAACTGGTTCGTTGCCTGTGGCTGTTGCTTATTAGCTGTAGCCACGGCAATTTCACCATTTTGCTTTTTGCTCTTCTTTCCTAACTTTTTGCTCTGCTGCTGCGCTTTCTTTTTAGAAGGTTCAATTGTTAGGACCTCGTTAATCGCGTCGTTTAAGCTATCTATGGTTTCGACCGATTTCTGTTTACGGTAGACTTTTTCGTGTCTGTATATGCCGATTCGGGAATTAACGTCACGTCGGCCGTTGGCGGCTTTTGCCACCTTTTCTAACCGGCCATACGATTCTCGAGCGCTAAACCTGCCTCTTTAAAACTATTTAGATCAGAGAAGGTTTTGGTTTCAAGATATCGCTTATATCTTGGGTGTAGATCCTCTATGATCATCACTAGCTGGCGTTTTACCGATACCGGTGGGTCAAAACGACGCAAAATCGTCTGGAAAGGCGCGACGTAGTTCGATATCTTCTCGTTTTTACCCTCTGTCCGTTGACGCAACTCGCCGTAAAGTTGCTCTCTATTTAATCGCCGGCAGAATTTGCTAGAAAAACTTTTTTTAAAGTCTTTCAGCGTCTTCTACATACCGCTATTAACCTCGTACCACGAGCGCGCTTTATCGCGAAACGTAGTGCCTATCGCGATAAGCAACTCTTCGTCAGGAATCTCGTAATAGCGCTGACAATCGCTTAAACCTGATAGAAAACGCATTCATACCGTCTTTACCCGAAAAATGGAGAGACCATGCGTTGAGTGCGCTTACCCCGTCCGCAGGTATCCCGTTGATATACTTTATTCGGGGAGGGCCACTCTCTCTGCTTGGCTTCTCTACCTTTTTTTTAAACGATCTTTCTGTCCGCGTATCACAACTATCGGTATCCGATGAGCACGTGCTTGTATTGCTAACCCCGAAAGTTTCTATCTTTTAAGCTTGTCTACTCTGAGACCGCTTCAAACTAGCTACGCTACCTTTGCCTAACTTTTGCAACTAAAGGACTCCCGCTCCAGCATCCAAGGTCTAGTTTTCAATATAATCTCTCTCTCTCTCTCTCTCTCTCTTCATCGACGGCACTGTGCGCGAATTTTAATATTAGGTGGGTAGCAAGGCATGCACACGCCGGCTACCTGCCCTAATGACGGTAGGGTAATAAATCGCGCAAAGAGAAATCGTCCAGGCGATCCCTCGCCGGGCGACTTTCTCTTTTAGCTAAATAGCTTAAGTCGGTTCGTTGTCAAAGCGGTCATCTGCCGGGCGACGCGCGTTGTGTTTTCTATAGATTTGTAGGCGCGATAAGTTAGTTAATTTGTTCTTTTTTGTAATAGTTGTTAAGGACGTCGTTGTGTTTATTCGATTAAAGTGTGTGTAATGCGGCTTATCACTATGTAGTTTGTTAATGTGCGGTATTTGCGAAGTTTAAGTGTAATTTAACTTTTGTTTGATTTAATTATATTTGTTTAAGTGCGAATGTGTTTGTGTGTATAAAGTTATTAACCATTTTCATTGATTTGCCTCTTCCCCCTTCCCGTCTCAATATTACTATAAGCGAGTGCGCCTCACTTGCCCACCTTAAATAATAGTTAACGAACGAGCCTTCATTTCATGGCATCCCTTGTGGGCCTAGCAATTGAGGTAACGGGATCGGGAATGATAGATTAATAAATGGTTAATCGGGAATTTTCCGTTGTATACTAAGGGCAAAACGCGCGCACAAAGAAAAGAACCTCTAGCTCCGTGTTTACTTTTCTATGAGTGTTTTGCCTCGGATTACCAGTGACCTTTTCTCAGCGGGGAGTCGACTGGCTGCGATTGCGTCATATGGTTGTTTTGACACTGGACTCAAACTTAAACAGTGGAATTGGGCATCTGGCGAGTTTTCTTTGTGAGGCTTATGCAAGGCGATCGCTCGCCGGCTGAAAGCCTGCAAGAAAATTCGAAAATAAATTCGAAAATAAGTCGAACAGCATAACACGTGATAAACACACGCTGCCTAGATATTTTGAATTTTAATTTCCCACGGAAAATGTCGCTAGCCTGTAGAGACAGGAGTATAATGCGTAGAAAATTACGCGACGCGCACGCCAAAAGTTTTAAACGCGAGATTGACTCAACAGAACCGGCCGTACTGCTTGAGTTAATGAGCTACCGCGGACTTATTCTACGCGGTGATTTAGAAGAGCTGCGAGACCGATACTTGCGCTTTTTATTAAGGAAGAAGCGACCAGATTTACAGCCACCGGTATATCCGAGCGACTTTGCGCTTGATCGGATCCCGGAGTTGCTGCATAACGAATCGCGTGATGCGGCAGCGGACAGCGCGCGATGTGCAAATTTCGGCGACGAGTCCGCAACAGCTGTTGCATCCTTGGCGGCTGAATTTCCGCGCCAACAAGAGCAGGCAACGCAGGTAACAAGCGTGGCCGCTCCGCGCAGGCGAACCCAGTCGCCGGGCAGAGGCACAGATGCGGCTGTCAATAGAGATGTGCTACCTTCGGCAGTCCAGCCACCATTGATAGCTCGGTTGCCGTCGGTTGGCGCGAACTTACGCGCGCACGAGCAGGAACGCCGAAACCAGGGCGAAAGCAGCACCAGTGCGCTAAGCCAAATCTGGGGGCCGTTGCATCAGTACCGTGCTAGATTTATAAGCGCAAAGTGAGACAGGGTATCACGGATGGCGCAAATGCAGTTTTTAGGGTAGAGAGTGAGGCAGTGCACAGTGGAGCGACTCAGGCCGAGCAGCAGGCTCCCTTGCCGCCTCAGGCCAAACCGCTCAGCGATCGCGCGGCGCTAAACGCGCTAGCAGTTGTGACTGAGCCATTGGCTCACGCGAGTGCGCGAAATAATTTAGCAAAATTGCATCATTCGATTGGGTGGCTTTTAATTAATCACATATCGGCTGTGCGTCGATTATGCTCATTTTCTTTACGTGAAAAAAAGATAAAATTAATTATGGGTGCTGGCGCTAGCACCCAAATTTGATTTTCCAAATGTAGTGGTTTATATCGTGAAAATAATTTTTTTAAATATACCAATCGTTAGTGCGTCTCACGCATTATTGGTACTCAACATAATATTATTAAAAAATTTATTATTCAATTAATTGAAATAAAATAATACTCTTGCGTATTTAAAAAGGTTATTATGATATTGTTTCGCGCATGCGCCTCGAATGGAACATTGTTGGTCAGTCGGAGACTCAATGCCATCATAGGCCAATCAAGAGACATTTTATTTTTAACAGGTAGCGAATACGATATTCGTTTTTATCGCGATAAATAAACAAAAACTGTCATGGTTCCAACTCGCAAATATTACTCCTTCATTTTTCAAACAATGTTTAAAGTTTGCAAAAACACGTTTTTTGCCTTTAAAACGAAAAATTGCAGATCAAAGTGTATACCCCAATGAAGAAAGTTGTAGATAATTAAATTACCTTTCGAATCAAGTCAATCGGTCCTTATCGAGAGGAGAAAAATAAAAAAAAGTGAAAAATAGACGAAAAAAGGGTGGTTTTCAAAAAATCATTACGGGGTAAGTTACAGAGTTGAAGAGCTATAATTTTTATATCTTGTAGATTGTATCGTATATTTGATCTGTGCGCAATCCCAGTGTTAAAGGATGATAACTTTATGAGTTATTAAATTTGGCAAATAACCTTGTTTTTTTCAAGCTATATTGTAAAATCCACTCTTGCTCAGGAGATCCACTTATTTAAAATTTAAAAACAGCTTTGAATAGATAATTTTCTGAACTAAAGATGCTCCATTTACATCTATGACCTATTTTGTATTTAAATAGGTGTAAATTTGAAAAATGTGTAACTAAAATGCGGCGAAAAAGCAGTCCGCGCGCGAGAGTAGGCGCGGAGTTGGAGAATTATCAAGCAAAGAGGAGAACAATGTATAGTAATACTGAAGCGCAGCGCGCTCGGTATTAATCTTTACTAATTATTTTCTTAGCACCTATCAACGCTATTTATATATATTGCAACGGTAATCGATTCAATTAATCGATCCGTTCGCGATTCTGCTTCTCGCGCGTTAGTACAAACAATTAAGAGAGAGAGAGAGGGGGCGCGCGATCATTTGAATAAACAGTTACGCCTCAGCTGTTCACGCGACTTTACCACTGATTTGTGTTTTGCACTTTGTTTTCGCCGATATAAAGTTTTTCTTGGGACAATTACGTGCGTGAGTGGAACGGCATTTCCGTGACAATTAACAGCAGCAGTGCAGAAGCAGTATAAAAGCTGATAGAGGCAGATCAAAGCAGCGCAGCTGATAAATAGGAGGGCAGCGGCAGTTGATATATTTCATCAACAATTACGGCTGATCACCGTAATTGCACCACAGGGTAGGTGCACCTCCCGTCATTATTGCGTGACAAAATACATTCGGTATTTTGTCAATCGTGATAGCGATTTTTTTGTATTCGCGCCGAGCGTTAGTTCACGGTAAATTTCGAATCTTCTCTCTCTCTCACCAGATAGTATTCATTGTAAAATCCTGTTTGCGAGCGTTAGTCTTTCGACCCAATAAAGACTGTAGTTATTTTTATTAATTAAAGTTAGTCAAATTTATTCGCCGATTACGTCATTTAATTTTCCCAGTAGCTTAAGTGATTTGTAAAAGACTTAGGTTTGAATCCGATTACGAAAAATGTTTTTTATTTGTGAATTGATGTATTGTCAACGAAAATATGAATGATATAATAAGTTGATAAGTAATTCAGGTAACCAAGAAAAAAATACCCTAAATAAAAAAATATATATATAAATAGTGTTCAAATAGTAGCTTAGAAAATAATCAGTAAAGATTAATACCAAGCGCGCTGCGTATTCAAGGTAAAAGCAAACTTGGGTAAAAGCTCGTCTTAATTCCGGTGAGCCTCTCGCAAGAAATCCTTGATAATCGTCTTAAGGTTGCGTATTTCACGCTCCGTTGAGTTAACTTGGGGATGGTATATGGGTGTGAATAAATCATCAATTTATTGTAGAATATTTGTTTGGTTCGATTTATTACCAACTTCACTGTTGTTCGTATCTCTTGTGAGGTGTTCTTGTCTTTGAGCTAGTTAGTCGATTTGTTGATGCTAGTGTGTTAACCTGATTGAATAAACTAAAGTCTTTCTAACAATTGCATCTTGATTATTATTTACATACATTCTAGCTGAATGTATATAGTCGCGGAGTATGCGATTCTTGAATTTGGTACCGTTATTCGATAGAAGCGCTTCTGGTGCTCCAAAGCATATGACAACGCGTTTATGTAGTGCTTTCATGATGTTTTTGCCTTTCGCTTGCCTCAGCGGCACACATTTTACTCAACAAGCGAACAAGTCTACGAGCACGAGGATGTATTCGAAGCTCCTATGGCTCTAAGGGGATGGCTCAGTCATGTTGCCCGCTGCTATCTACGAAGGCCTCTCAAGTTTACAGAGCTCTATAGTATCAAAGGTCGACCGCTGTTATATCTTATATTGCTGGGAAACTACGCAGTTCCTGATGTAATCATATACGTCAGCGTATATTTTGGGTCATAGTAGGCGCGGCTAAGTCTGATACATATTTTTTCGTGACCGGGGTATCCTGTGATTCGATTTTCGTGACGCTATCTCAGCACGTCTGCCCTCTTCTGTTGAGGAACCATGAGTTTCCAGGTGTCGTCGTTTTTTATCACGCCGAGTGATGATTTCATTGTCAGGGTGATAAGTATATAACGCCCTACCTGATATGTTCCATCTAGGGAAATCGTTGGAGTTTACCGACATCTCCCGCGCCTTCTCGATATACCACTTGTCGGCCGTATCAGCCCCCCAGGTGAAAACGCATGTGGTCGCCTCGCCTTCGTTTTACTCATAGACATGTGTCAACATTGCAACGAGAGTGCACTCCGGCGTTTTATAACCCTCTTCGAAGACGCGCGACAAGGCGTCGGGTAATTGATTTTTCTTGCCGCTCCGGTACATTACTTCAAAGGTTTAACCTTAAAGATCTAACGCCCAACGGGTGAGCTGGCCAATTGAATTTTAAGCGTCATTAGCTATTTTAAGCTGTGGTGGTCCGTGACCACGAGAAATTAGTATGCTTTAAGTTAGTGTCGGAATTTTCAAATTTCCCATATCGCAGAGAGAGCTTCGCTCTCCGTTGTCGAATATTTTCGCTCTGCTTCTTTCAAAACGCAACTCACATATTCAAACATGCGCAGCTAGCCTTCTGCTTGTTGCAGTAGCACTACGCCTAGATCCGTGGAGCTGGCGTCCATTTTTAGTATGTATTTTCCGTTGGAGTCTGACATATATGGCACGGAGTCAAGGTCATCGATTCTTTAATGCTTCGGAACGTGGATTCTTGCACTTATTCCTATATATACTCTAGATTTTTCTTTGTGAGCGCTGTGAGTGATTCTGTCATTGTGGCGATGTTCGAGAGGAAACGCCTATACCGAGACGCTATCCCCAAGAACGTGTGCAGCTTATTCAGCGTCTGTGGGCGAGAGTATTTTATTATTGCGTGTATTCGTTTTGGTTGGGCCGTAAGCCCTCGTAGTCAATGACGAAGCCGAGGTAGCGGACTTCGGGCTTGCAGAATTTGCATTTATCCAGGTCGATAGTGAGCCCCGCCTCGCGTATTTGTGAAGCTTTTTGAGGTGTTCATCGAAACTACACGATACTATGATGATATCATCGAAGTATACGAAAGGTCGCTCCTGCATATACTATCCGAAGGGTATGGATGTTACAGTCAAAGCGATGAATCCAGTCAATGTGTACAATGCCCGGGCATTCTGCAGAATGCCTGGTTCGGTCAGTCAATGTGATGAATTTTCTTAAATTCATCGCTTTGACTAGGCATTCTTTATAATGACTAGGCATTCTGTATAACGCCGGTCGATCGCCAGTCAAAGTGAGTAATGCATGAAAATTCGTGGCTGTAGTACATCATAAGTTTATATTTCTCGTCAATAAAATAAATTATTTATTACAACACGTTGAGCTCTGGTGGCATTTCGAATTACAAAGTTTTCCTTCTTTACGACATTTGCATATTTTTGTTTTGCAATTACCTCGGCAATTGCACCGACTGTATCCTTGTCCACCGCCCATCGACAATAATCTCGAACATTCTCTGAGTGATATCATCTTGTCTGGAACGTCATTTATGGTTATAAACTGTTCTTTGCAAATAGCAAATTGGTTTCTGGCGTAAAATTGATTCAATACGCCATGATTTGTACCCAATTTGTACAGACCATCATTGTTTTTCTCCAAAATTACAGCTAGTATATTTCTGGAGTCGCTTCTTCCTCTATCTAAATCCGGAACAGGAACTCGCACAGATTCTCCTAAATTTGCAGGTGCAAATTTAGCATTCGATGCAGAAATCATTTTTTCAGCTTGTTTTTCTAGGTTAAATTGAACAACTTTTCGTTTCTTACGAACTTGTTCTACTTTTTCTTTAAGAGGATTCGGCGGAGTTTCATCGATCCCACTTTGATCTTCTTTCTCTTCTGTGTCATTCTTGTCTGTGTGCATTATACTTTGAAGTTCCTCTTGAGTATCTAATGTTAATAACACGTCAGGCGTCAAAGTAGTAGCCAATCCAACCTTTGCTTTACATCCAAACATAGCTTCATAAGGACTGCACTTTATACCTGAATGATATGCCCTGTTCTTCATAAATTGAACAAATCTCAGTCCTTCTGCCCATCTAGTTGTGTTATTCTCTTTTTGCCAACACGATAGCATATTTTCAATGTCTTGGTTAGCTCTCTCGACGGACCCTTGACTTTGCGAGTGCCTCGGCTTTCCGTGGACAATCTTAAGCTCTGGCCATAAGCTGCAAGTTTCTTCAATGATTTTTGCACAGAACTCCATCCCATTATCCGATTGTAAAATAGACGGTGCACCAAAGGTTAGAAAGATATCCAATAGATGGTAAGCTACAAGATCAGCTTTTTTACACATTAAAGGTCGAAGCTGAACAAACTTTGTGAGATGATCTTGATACACCATTATAAACTTGAAAACTCTATCAGGCTGAGATTGCATATCAATTAAATCTACTTGACATCTTGAATTCATTTCAGTACTTAAAATAGGTTTGACTACTACCCCTTTTCTTAGTACTCTGAGTTTACCTTGACATATTTCACACAGATTGAGATATGCCATAACTACTTCTTTTGTAATATTTTTGTATTTTTCATTCAAAATACTTCTCATTCGATCTCTACCACCATGACCAACAGAGTTATGTGCATCATGCAGTATTATGAATAACTCTTCTGTATGTGCATAAAATCTAATCTTCGTGTCGTTTTCGTTAGCAGGAAAGATCAACTTCTCTTTATTGCTGAATTCAGCGACGTCATACCGTCGTAGAAATTGATAGTCTTGGGGACGCCTCTTATACTCACAACTTTTCTTTTCTTTCACGTCTTCGATAGCCTTCAAGTAATCATCTTTGGAAAGTAAAAAACTATTGACGCCCTTAGCTGATAATAGTTCTTTAACATGTTCGTTAAATTTTTTATTCATTTCCATTAGTAATGGTTCCATTTTTCAGTAAATTTTCCAAGGTACACTGAGAAAATAAATACAGCAATTCCTGATGACACAACTATGAGAAGAAAATGCAAATAGAATTTTACACTTTGCAAACAAAATATAACACAACTGAGCAGCAGCAAGTCACACCGAGCACCAACGATAATCCGACGAGTGTGCGATTTTCAATAGACATGGTCTACTTGACTCTGATTCATATCCCCCTCTCCCATCTTCTTTGTTTACGTCGTTCACTCTCTTATTAATTATATCATGTAAGCCACGAATAACTACATCGTCTAGTGAAAGCGATGAATTATCATGTATTACTCACTTTGACTGGTGAGCGACCGGCGTTATGCAGAATGCCTAGTCAAAGCGATGAATTTAAGAAAATTCATCACATTGACTGACCGAACCAGGCATTCTGCAGAATGCCTGGGCATTGTGCACAATGACCGGTTCATCGCTTTGACTGTAACATGGATACGAATTGGAACTGGCCGAGTCGTGGCGCAGTGAATGTTGTCAGAGGGCACGCCGCTGGTGCAAACTTCTCCTGGTGGTATGTACTTTTGAGGTCGATCGTAGAAATGAACTTTGTGCCGTTTAACCTTCGCAATATGTTTTGCATGAATAGCAAGGAATAGGCAAATATGGATTTTCACGACGTAAGATTTAAAGCTTCAGGTTTTTGGATATATAAATTTAAGAAAGAGCATAGAATAGTAGATAGAAAAATAAATATATTTATTACAAAAAAACCTTTACGTGAGGGGTCAAAGTTGAAAGATGAATCAGAAAAATTTGTAGGTAAAGCACGAAATAATATCCGTTAGTATGAAGAAGATAATATCTATAACTCTGATCAAAGTGGACTTGAGTTAGAAATTCATTATAATGGATACTAAGAGAGGAACAAAAAAAGTTGAGTATGTTGTTCTATCAATTTCTGCAACAACCCACAGCTATACAATACAACCGATAAATGCTGCAAGAACATTACTTTCGCTTCTGCTCTTAATTCTGAAGGAAACAAAGAATGAGTTTGAACCGATAATACTAAAAAATTTATTTTTTGTAACGGCGTGTGGAAAGCTCGTTTTTTCACGTGTTATTTTCGGGCAGGAAGTAAAGCATACGCGACATTTGAAAATACGAAGCGTACCTGCCCACTGAAAAGGCGTACGGAAAGCAACAGACCTAATGCATATGCAACATTTGGAAGCCGAAGCATAAAAGCGTCTAGTGCATCGAACTAATCCACTCTCTTAAAATACGTGTCTACCATGCGTCAGGTATGCGGCGCCGGCGTTTATTGCTTATAGCGGGAAGTCGCCTCAAATCTATTCTTCACGTTTACATAAAATTGTATACACACAAAAGTTAATACATGTAATTGCCTGTTCAAATAAATGAATTGCTTCAGTTCTACTCGAACGTTCAATCGACTAACATCTTTTTGAATCCTTCAATAAAAACGTAAAGTATGAGGTGTGTTCAAAAAGTAAGATGAATTTTTAAATTGAGCGGGCTACGTATATTCGATCATCGATATATTTTTTTAATATGTTGGTTTACATGTCCCTCACATATGCTCACAGTTTCAGCCAGTTTGTATGTTTACTTTTTTTGCGAGATAGAAACGTTAGACGTGTTTTTTGTGCTCGGCGATTTTCTGTTGTCGAAAACAATGGATTAAAGAGTTTATATAAAATTTTGTGTGAAAAATGGAATTAAGTGCTCCAAAATACTTGAAATGTTGACAGTGGCATACAGTGAATCTACTTTAAGTCAAAAAAATGTTTACAAGTGATATAAGCTTTTGCAAATATGGCGTTATTGCACAAAGAGAGAGCAAGGTTTGTCGTCGAGAAGACACCGATGACGAACCTCGCTCTGGACGTCTCAGCACTTCAATAACTGATGAAAGTAATGAAGGAGTAAAATAAATAGCATTAAAAAATCGTCGAATCACTATTAGAGAAGTGACTGAAAACGTGGGCATCTCTGTTGGCTCGTGCCATGCAATTTTTTTCCGTAGTTTTGTGCATGAAACGTGTAGCAGCAAAATTTGTTCCGAAATTGCTTAATTTTGAATAAAATGACCGTCGAAGGAGCATCTCTCAAGAGCTGTTAAACGACGTCAATGATGATCCTGATATGCTCAAAAGAGTGACGAATCATGGGTTTATGGTTATGACGTCGAAACTAAAGCCTAATTGTCCCAATGGAAGACTCCGGAAGAGCCAAGACCAAAAAAAATATGTCAAGTTCAATCAAATATCAAGGTTTTGTTCACTGTTTCTTTGATTATCGGGGCGTAGTACATCAAGAGTTCTTACTACAAGATTGTATGGTCAATAAAGAGTATACCATGAAGTTATACGCCGTTTGCTATAAGCAATACAAAGAAAACGTCCGGAATTGTGGATAAACAATTCATGGATTTTGCATCACGATAATGCACCTGCTCACTCATCGTTGCTTATGTCGAACTTTTTGGACAAAAATAAAACCACAATCATGCCTCAGGCACTATATCCACCGGATATGGCCCCCTGCAACTTTGCCCTGTTCCTAAAACTCAAGAAATTCATGAATGAACCGAGGTTTGGAACGATTGAGGAGATACGATAAAGAAAAAATCGCTGGAGGAACTCAAGGCTACACCAGAAAGTGCTTACCAGAAGAGCTTCGAGGATTAGAAATAACGTTGGTACAAGTGTATTATATCTGAGGGGGATCACTTTGAAGGGGACAACATAAATATTGATGAATAAATAAATATTTTTTCATAAAAATAAAAATTCACCTTACTTTTTGAACACACCTCAATACGTTCAGACCTTACTTCCAATTTCCTTAACCTTCAAGCACATAACCATTTCCACGCTGTAGCCCCAACCCCCTTAACCCCAATTTTCTTAATTATATAGCGCCTAATTCTGTTAAACTGTAACCCCAACCACCTATACCCTAATATCCTTAACTCTCGAGAACACAACCGTGCCACCTAATAACTCCGACGCTTCATGTCCCAATTTCTGTAACTTTTGACCTTTGTAAACTGTGGGGCTATAATAATTCCATACTCTTAACCCAATTTTTTTTACTCTCGAGCACTTAACTCTGTTACTCTGAAATCCCGAACCACCATACCCTACTTTTATTATTTCTCTAGCTCCGTAACCTACGAGGCAGTAACCTCAGACTCTTAATCCGAATTTCATTAATCCTCTAGTCCTGTAATCTCATCAACGATGACAAAAGTAATGGGCATAAGAGCAATTCCAAAATTTATACAATTGAAATCCATTGCAACTTACCTTTGGTCAATGGTTTACGAGTTTAAAAAAGCAAGATTTTAAAAATAAGCGTTTCGTTCAAGACTGTTGGATTTGACTCCTCACTAAGGATCCAATTATACATTTCAAACATTTGTCCGTAAAAATTATAAGAAATAACCACGTCAAATGAATCGAGTATAAGTGACTTAGTGCCTGAAAAAATATTTGAAGCAGTAAAAACGGTAGTGTTTTATTTATTGTCAAAGCAATCTCGACTGAGGTACACAAAATGCTACTATGAATTCAAGGCTTGATGGAAGACAAAAAATACGCAGTCATCCAGTGAAGAAATCTTTCTTGCCGACTTCTTGTAAATGTCAAAAAAATGTTCACCATCGACACTGTGGTCACGTTATTCCATGCTGAAGTCTACGTGTGGAAACTTTGACAACATGGATATAGAAAAATATAACAAATTGGCAGCATACCTAAAACGATTGAATATTGGCTACAAAAAAAAGACATCAAAAGTTTTTACTACTGCAAACGTTCAGACATTTATTGAAACAGCTACAGATGTTCCGTTGTACGTGACTACGAATGATGTATGTGTTGATCATATTGAGAGGGAACTGCCCTGTCATTACCGCCTTTTTTGACTTCCGGTTAATTTAGGTGAGTCTTTGGTTAGCGAGCGCTGCTATCATAGTCTGTCGTCATCGATCTTACCTTCCGAGTAGCACGCGTTCTTAAACTTCAGTTTTCGATCAGTGATCGACTTCAACAAGGTCCCCTTCCGTGCAATAACGCCGCTAGGCTAAGCGCAAAGGACCGAATCAAGTAAATTCGTGTGAACGAGTTTGATGAGTGATTGATCTCAACAAGGCCCCCTTTCTTTGTGCAATAATGCTGTTGAGTTGAGCATAAAAAAGGGACCGAAGCAATCTAATCCACGTAAATAATCTGTGGATGAAAGTATGTATAAATGAGTGATTGTCGGCGCGATTTGTATCGCACGGCGAATGGTGTGTGTGAGTGACGTAATCCGTTCTTAGAAAACATGTGCGCGGCGGTTACACTCGTTTGTTATCATTTGGCGCGTTTTTATCTGTGTGGTTTTATTTCATTTTTTGATCTTTTTTTTCTCTTTTTCTTATTAATTGTTTTTAATCTACTGTACAGTAGCTTCATTTGTCGATTTGTGCATTATTGTTAAATAGACTGGATTTTTTTGTGCCGTGATAAGCTTTTTCCTATAATTCGTGTGTCAGTGTTATTTCAATTAACCTCTACCCATAAAATAAAACTACGGTACGAATACTACCTAGAGTATTCGTGAAGGAAACTAACCAATTCGAAACAACAGATGATGATTATTTTGCAAAAGAGGTAAATTTAATTTTTATAAAAAAATTAAATTAAGTTATTGAATTTTTTTCAAATTCGTTTCGAATAATAAAAATTTTTAAATAAAAGAAATTTTATAGGTAGCTCTTATCATTGGTATCAATGACTGCTGCAAACGCGAGGAGCTTACGAATAGAAGATTTTACGGACCCTGCAAAAAATATATTGACAAGCGACCTGCAAATATTGAAACCGATAAATTTTTCAAAAAAAAGGAATCTATCTGAATCAAGCAACTGGGATCTACACGAGGGGCAATACACCATCTGAAATAGCTAAATTTTTTAATTTTCCGGATGCTAGAAAATTCACAGG